CTGCCAACATTAATCTCCCTGTAACAAATTTGGCACCAGTGCCAGCTGTTTATAGTTACGATGGAGATGAATAATCAGAAAGCGCAAAGGACCAGAATGCTATTTTGCTGAAAAATATGGTTACTTTTAATGTGAAACTTTTCAAGATTTAGTAGAAGAAACCAAAGCAGAGCACAGAGGATATTGCATGGGATATATGAGACCTGCAGTGCCCTTTTCTTCTTAAAGCCATTAGTTTTTATTCTCCAGTAAATAAAAAAGTATATCAGAATAGATAAAAAATGAAAATTGAACAGTGAATGACCCATTGTTTTGATGTCAGGACTGCAAAATGTGGGTGGCACTAGTTCTGGGCCTAAGGTTGGCATCAAAGGGCCTCATGCATAGCTTCCAGTGCAAGGCACGTTCCCTGAGCACTGGACTGCTATGGGGAGAAAGGATCCAAGTGATACATTAATAGATCTGTTAAATCATTCCAGTGTAGTATTTAGGTTTTTTTTTTTAAATCAGATATTTTCAAATTTTTTTCAGAAATTGAGGTCTGTTTGAATGACCATCTCGTTATTTAGATAAAATGCTAATATTAGTGATGTGCTAAGACCTGGGAAGTGCTTGCCAACCATACCTATTTCAGTAATGATACTCCTCACTGACTGTGTCTGATCATAATCTCCAACTTCTTGTGGTTTCACTTGGATTTCCTTTGCAGTTCTCAACTTGATTACAATTCCTCACATTTGACACACCAGTCACTAAATTTATCATTGTGTTTTTGAAAGGAATGTGCACTTGACAGGAATAGTTTTCACTAGGCAAAGTCAGAAAATTTTTAATTCAGAATAGAACATATATAGTATTGTGATCTCTGCTAATTTTTTATGTGTATGTCTTTACCACTATCACATATGTGCCAGCTGGTAGTTATGAGGAGGTATAAGTTTAATTTATGTTTGTTCGAACATGAAAGTAAGTGGAATGACAAATGAATAAATCATTGCACCAGTGTTAACAGTAAAAGCATGACCAAACTCACTATCATCATATTGCCTTTTGATTCAATTAAATACCACTGCTTACTGTTTTAATATCATATATGAAAGCACTGTAAATTGAAATTAAAGTCATCAAGGTGGATTTCTATAGATGAAAAATTTCTCCTACAAGATGTGTAGAAAGATATTTAAGTGGAGTTTCACACATAAAAAGTGAGACACTTCTTGTCTTCATTGAATAGTGCATACTTTTAGATACAATATGAATAATAAAGATGTATATTTCATTTTGCTTTTCATTTTAGTTATAATAAGCAGCAGGAGCAGTGCTATTTTGGAATCATCCCTGAGAAAAATGGGAAGAATGTATCTTTGAAAGAAATTTGAAATACATCAAGATTTTAAACAGTGAAGGGCAGAATTTTCTTAAGATTATTTTTCCCATTTACCCAATCTTATTTTAATCTGTGTCCATACCAAAAGTGTTTCTTGTGTAATCTGATACATCATTGTTTTATACAAAAATGGGTGTTGTTCCACCAGTGCATTTCTACAACATGACATTCAATAGACTAGTGACAACAATTTGTCATGAATATTGCTGAAAAACAGTGTACTGCTAGAATTTTGAAGTGTTAATATTTAAACACTGATCTCTTTAAAATGGTCACTTTTTGAGCAATTGTCCTCATTATTTATATCTTGTTTTTTTAATTCTGAAATATTTTCAAATTCATGGAATAGCACCACTTTTCACTTGCCTGTTTTTATTTTAGATGTCTTTGTGACATATTTTTGGCCATGGTGTGCTAGGTGTAGAATCCCAGATGTTTCAGTGGGGCAGGAGAGGTGACTTTTTTTCTTTTTCTGAAACCATGATGAGTTTAATTTTAGACACAATACAAAGCAGAGCACTACCGTTTTCTACCTTACTCCCAGAGATAGATGAAATAAGGATATCATTAAGAAAATTGGATATATCTGAATAAGCAAGGTGGATTTTTCCATTAATATGCTTTTTTTCTCCCTATATAAAGAATGATGAGGAGCCATAATTTTACTTTCATAATAGCAAACTATTCCATTTATTCAATTCCTTAGTTCCCAGCATTGCATTGGCCACATGCATCAAGTGTGAGACACTCTGTTCATCTTGCGTGACAGTGCAGTCAGTTCACTCTAAATCTGACTCCAAAACAACTAGATTAAGAAGCAACAAAAAAAAATTTAAATCAATTATACCTGAATAAATAATGAACAACAATATTTGTGGCTATTTATTTGAATTATAGTATTTTTATCTTTTTGCTTTGCACTTTCTGCCCCAAGAAGTTTTTGGTATCCAGTCTAGACTGAAGTTTTTGGTATCCAGTCTAGACTATCAAATGTCACAAAACAGATAATCTTGCTGTTATTACAATGCCTGAATCAAGATGGGAAAGAGGAAATCCTTTCCTGAAATAATTTATAGACAAAGAAAAGGAAACATTTTCTTATGGAAGATCAAGGCACAAAGAAATTAACAGACTTGCTTGACAGCACATAGGAGGTCTCATGTTTCCTACAGGTTAGACAATCACCTGTGTTATGAGATTATTCCCCGGAATGATGAGCAGGCACCCAAAGAGTTGTACATTAGCCCTCTGAGAACTGAACTAGTTTCTGTACTTTTTATAAGGAAATTGTTACTGAAAAATAGACATCTAGGAATCCATTTGTTCATAGACAATGATACAAAAGACTATACTGCTTAGAGTATAGTCTTAACTACAAAGATTTTAACTATAGTATAGATCTTAACTATAAAGAAAATGCAAATGCAAAACAATGGTTCTTTGAATGTATTCTTAAATGTACCACATATGAAAAATAAAAGAATATCAGTAAACTGATACATAAATCAAGAAACAATTACTATGCAACATATTCCCATAATTTCATAACTGATGCCTTAAAATGCGAACATGAAGGTATATGAAAAACCCATATTTGCAAAGAGTTGTAGATTTGCATCCCTTATAGTGTAAAGGGATGATTAAACCAATAGATAATGCACTGGTGTGCATAGTCTGGATTATGTCTTTGAAAAAGAGAAAATGCCTGATGATGGTGTAGCAGCACTATGTTTCCAATAGGCCAGTCAGTCAAATGCAAATACAGTCTATAATAAAAGGGCTGGTTGGCATAGTAATTGGGAAATGAATGTTATTTGTAGCTCCATATTTCTGTCTTTAGGAGTCTAAGAACTAGGAGGTTGGTATTGATAAGAGGGTTTGTGTATAAATCCTTTGTAATGAGGCTGTGCCTCTTCAGTCATTTGTATTAATTTTAACTTTAGATATGAACATCATTCTCTGAAAGGAGTGACAACTAAAATAACTAATTTCACAAACGTCTATGGAGAAAAAAAATTACTCATTTTAGAAAAAAAATCCCTGCTTCCTGTTTGATTGTTTGAGTGGGTTTGGGTGGGGTTGTTCTGTGGCAGAGGGAGTTTGAGAATATGTACAGGATCACCTTATAGCTGTGTGAGGCATGCACTACAGATTATTGCTGCATTTGTGCAGGTACTGACAAAGATGAGTTCAGGTTTGGATGAAGGAAATTATTCTGCAGGAGAAATACCAACTATAGAATGTATCTCAAAAGGTATAAAAGTCCTTGCAGTCCTTAGCTCAGGTCAAAAACTCTCCAAATGCCCTGAGATCTTCATCAGCTTCAGCCATTGATAGTACTCTCATGTTTGTTTTTTTTTTCCTGTTGGCCTATTTGGGTGATTATTTAATGATATATTTGACAGTTTTTGCTGTTCCATGTCTTCACGCGTATACCCTGATTTGACATCTTGTTCATATTCTGAAGTTGTGAATATTTCTGTAGCATCACCTGGAATGCAGAACTTGAGGGTCTTAAAGAGTAGAGAGTCTGGAGCATTGTGGAAAGGTGAAGTTCTGTCAGTGGTTTGGTTGCCTTTGTTTTGTTACTCTGTCCATACCCCAACAGGTCTCTCCCTTCAGCATCATTTGCAGCCACATGGATTCCCTTGGCTCTTCACTTTGCTGTTCCACATATCCTGATAAATATCTCTTATTGATATTTCTGGTACTTGCCCCTTAGCCTTTCTCCTCACTTTCCAGTCTCTCCTTGTTCACTCTTTCAGCTGTGTTTCCTTCTCCTTTCTCTAATTTTTCTGTCCTTTTTCTTACCAATCTTCAAGACCTTTTTGTAATGTTCAAGAACTTGCCCTTCCTTCATTTCCAGCTCCACCCCAAACAGATAATTTACAGTTAATTGCTTTGAAGTAGTGTTTAGAACTGATTTTAGGGAATTTATTTTTTTTTTTTAAAGACTGAATGGTAATTTTGTGTAAATTAGAAATATATTATGAGTTCCCTGTTCAGGATAGCACACCCATTCCTTAGGCCAGTTGTAGGGCTGCCTTGAAAAGAATCCTTGTACTTTTATCACTGTCTGCTATTTTGCTGCTTATGGGGACATAATCGGTTTCTGTCTTTGGGCATTAAGTGAGCACAGCAGAGAGCAAGAAGGAATCTCTTGCTTCTGCCCCTGCCCAAATTTAACATTACACTACAATTAGTCAGGTTTATTAAGGGCTTACTGTACCATCTTCTGCTTAAGCATCAGACTTGGGTACTACCAGAGGCATGCTAGCAGGCTCGATGGACCAGTGGACTGATCTTACACAGTAAATCCCATGCTTTTGTGATATGTTGACAGACCCTCACCTCAAACAGTGCTAGCAGGCACTGCCGTAATAAAACCAGACTAGCTCATTATTTACTTCTGAGATTTTGTAAAAGCAGCATAAATGTTAATGAAAAAATAATCTTTTCCCAAATTTCTTACAATAACTGAGCTTACCCCAGGCAGGTTGTGCTGCTGTAGATCAGGGTTTGAAAAATGTGAGAATTCCTTATTCCCAGTAGTGCATTGGGAGGAAAAATTTGTCACTCCCATGTCATTTATTTCTCTGTAAGGTGTTGAGGGCTACAGTTTCTTGTCTTTACACATCCTTGCCATAGTAAATAACTCACTAAGAACTAACAAAAATTGTAGAGGAAAGAAAGATAACAAAGAAAAACATGCAAAATATTAGTTAAATTAATAAAATAATCCCACTTCCCTGATCTTGTGTGCAGAAAGAAAAGAAGAAATTGAATTGAAAAATGTATTAGGTAATGCCTGATCTAGGAATTAATCTGCTTACTTACACACAGCAGAGATACAAATTCTCTTGAGATAGCTAACTTGGTTTCTGATGTGGTATAATCCATGTTTACACATGTTGCACTGAATTGTAAAGAGAAAGGATTCCTGTGTAAAATGAAGCAGAGATGGAAAGTCAGAATGATAAAAAAATGGTTTTAAATGGTTTTTAACATAAAGTGCTATTCTCTTTCTCACCATTCAAAAGAGCACATTAAAAGAAATATGTCACCTTTGATCTGAACTGGAGAAAGGTACTTGTTTTAATCAAATCTCCTTACTTCATGAGCTTTTAGCTACATTTTTGGCTGACAGAATAACACTGCAGGAAAATGTAAAGTTATTATTGTTCAGCCTCAATTGAAATTAAGAGACTGAAATAATTCTTTCAACATGTCATATACTTTAATACATTTAGTTTGAGTAGTTCACTTTATTCCTTTGCATTTGCATCACTCCTTAGGTATTTTTCTTTACTGGGAAGTAGATGTCCCATTGCCACAGCTTAACTGAGCTGTGCACTGGGAAACAATTCTGTTTGAGATAAGTTTTGGGGAAAGGCTTCATGTAGAGATGACCATCTTATTATCCATGCCTATCTAGGAATTTGTAGGCAATGCTGGGATGACTCTGGTTTCCTTGAGACTGTGGCCCACCTTCTTGCCTTCTTTTAGAACTCATCTTTGTAAATTAATTAGAAAAGTGTTTCAATTTTGAGAAGGTTTAGAATTTCAGACACATTTCATTGTGAAAGGAGAGTTCATCTTAAAGGAGTTTTGCAGCTTTTCAGATTAAAAAAATACCCCAAACAACAAAAAACAAACACAAAAAAAAAAACCAACAAAAAAAACCCACAAAACCCAAACTTTCAAAAGAGAAGATGTAGATGATCTAAGAAGAATTGTTCAACAAGTTGTCTGAAGTACAGCTTGTGAGATCAGGCTGCCCTGTCTGTGATGAGCAGAGGTACTGCTATGTCTAGTTGTACCTTTAACAGTGAGTGTAAGGAGATGGAAGTGGTGCCTGAAGTCCTGAAAGGTGGAGCATAGAGCTATGAGCGGGATACTTGCAACCCTCATCAAGGTGTCAATGATGAAATACAATTCTATTTCATATTAACTGTGTGTAATTAAAGTTTAAAACATTCAGAACTTGTGAAAGTTAAAACTATTTATGCAGCAATTAGTAAAACATGCTATTATATTCGGGGATCTAAATGGTGACATAGTAAAATATGTACTCTAAAGATGAAAAATACTGTGTAAAGTGAGATGGTATTGGCATAACATTGCTGTGAAATCCTTACATTCTGTAGATTCTGAATTTTTCATAATTTGTTCTCCATACAGTTCCTCTATATTCAGTATCTCAGCAGCAAAAGACACGTGGAATTTTCTAGAAGCCCACTGATTTTCATATGAAGTTATGAATACACTAAATACCCTCAGTGTATTGAATACAATTGAAATAGAAGACTTATCACCAAAATATATGGCTATTATTTTTTCATATCCGGTCTTTGTATCTTTTTTATCTACTCTGAATATGTAAATTAGAAAGGTGAAGTCAGAGGAGAAGGGAGTTATAAAAAGCCTGAATTTTCCACCAAGTAAGAAATTTCTTTCAAAATTCTTTGGGGTTGCATGCCTGAAGAAAACCTCTACCCACAAGTGTCAAAAGGGCTGTGTGCAGAGGAGGTCATTTCTATGGTATACCATGAAGATCCGTTTTTCACCTGAACTCCTCTATTATCAAGTTACTGGGTTAATACTTTTTAGGATTATGAAGCCTGGAGTGCTTCATTATATTATAAATATTAGGTTTTTAGTAACATTGCACTGAATTTTAATAATTGAGAAAATGCTGTACATCTTGGCTCAAATAAGCTCACTCTGCTGTGCTGACAAGGAAAATAACAACAACAATATGAGTGAGATAACCAGTAAAAAAATATTGTTTATCCCTAGAGAAAAAAATGTGTAACTTGGTGGCATACTGCAGCTCTGTGCACCTGTCTACAGCCGTGCCACAGCCAGTGCTTATGAGAAACATCTGTATGAAAACAGATGTTTCCTAAAAATTGTTACAATTTACCTTCATTTAGCGTTCTCTAGAAGCAGCCTGGGGTCACATTTAAACATTTTAATATGGTCTAGATTGAATTCATTTTTTTTCAGTGAACACTGATTTTAAATGTAAGCAAAGAAATAGATACTATCAGAAAATTAAGCAAAAATCAAAACTTTATGGTGAACTGTTTACTTGCACATTTTTAGAAGAAAGGTGGCATTAATCATGAGGCCCTTTTAAACCAAGGCAGAGAGAGGGGAAAGTATGATAACATACATTAAAAGACTAATGATTGCTCAGTCGAACTTTTGCTGGCACCTCCTTAATCACTTAAATCATGATACATGTATATTGAAGAGTAATTTCAGACCTGGTATAGGGTTGCTTTCCTCTAATGTGGGTGCTATGAAGTTTGCACCCTTTCTGAACAGAAAAATATCACTGGGGTTGGAGGAATAAGGTCATTATAAGTTTCTATTGGTGATAATTAGACAAGTCAGAGAGGTAACACCAAACACTATGCTCCTGAAACAGCATCAGTGTATTGCTTGTAACTCCCCACTGAACCACAAGGATTTGGGATTGCATGCCCTGAGACACAGAAGAAACAGAGGTGAGCTCAAAATGGGTTTGACAATTCTGTTACACTTGTAAGCTGTTGAAGCAACCCGCGTGTTCCTACATGCACAGCAAAGTGACCTCTGCTGAGAACAATGCAGATTCTGCATTCATGAGATTCAAATCCTCAAACTTAACGGGCAAGACCCCAAGAGGCTTGAAGTATTAACATTGAATGTATTGTTTCAAACAGAAGAGTAAAAGCCTACTGGCAGTCTGGTTGTTGGTGTTACTGGGCTTCGGTTTTCAGTGTGCTGCTTCGTGGCCTGATTTTGCAGGTCCTGCAAGCTGTGCACAGCTGCTGAGCACTGACGATGGGTAAAGTGACACTTTAAGCCAGTGTCACTGTGCTTAAATGCCTAGATTCCTGAAGATCGCAGATCACTTTTGGGTTACCCTTCTTCCAAACTTCATTCAGGCAAAGGGGGAATGAATTCTCAGGTTTATTCATGTAAGCCAAATCTGTCATCAAGGAGAGTGGACCACAGTAGATCCCAAAGCATGATTTGAACTCCATGGATGTGCTGGCTCCAGATTTCAGAATTAAGTGTAATTGGGTGCAAGGTCCTGTCTATTGGTGAGCTGGCCTCCTCGGCATATTCTCTAAAAATCATGACAGAGAGTTCTTTAGATTTCTTTTTTGTGTGTGCATGGCAGAAGAATAGGAGAACACTGGCAGTATAGCCCTTGCAGCTGTTAAGGTGTCTGAAAAAAGTACATACATACATCTGTCTATATCTATATCTATCTATATCTATATCTATATCTATATCTATATCTATATCTATATCTATATATGTGTGTGTATATGTATATATATAAACACATATTTTTAAATCTTGACAGAATCAAGTGTGAGTGGCAATGTAGAGTTTGAGGATGTTCTTACCAACGAGCATATTTTATATTTAAATGAGATAATCCAAAAAAGTGTTATTAGTTTTATGGCTGTACCACTAGCACTGTGCAGTGATACTAAAATCATCAAAAATCCAGCTCAGTGTTGAATGAAGCAGTTTACTAAATTTTATTAACAGATAACTAAGTATCAAAAATTACATATCCTGCTTCCAGAAAGAAAATAGAGTATAAGGTGCTAGAAGGTGAAAATAGGAGACAATAAAATGTGGTTAGGTGATTTTTTTAACTGTCTAAAATAAAAAAGAAAAATATAAATATTTTAAATTAGTCCTCAAAATGCAGGGAGCTTAGCTGTAAAATTCCATCTGATCACTATTAGGCTTACATGAGATTACAAAAGCCTGCTGATAATACAGTTAAATTCAATTTCAAAGCACTGCGGTGAGGACACTGAAACTGTAACAAGGCAGTAGCACTGTTTGGGCGAAAAAGAGTGAATACTTTGGGCATAAAAACAGTGAGTTAAGAGGATGCTGTCTGCATGGTAATGGACTGTAAGGGTAATTTTTGTGATATATTGTTTTCAGGGTTTAGATAAGGCATGAAAATAGAAAATCAATAGTGTAATAAAGGAGATTTTCAGGACTTTGATGGGTAAGGAGGAGGTCTTTGGAGGTCATACCCAATTATCAAAGATCTCTGTTTACCTTGATTTTATATTCTGATTAATTTCTGAGCCAAAACCTGGGCAGGTGAGGGTTACTTTTCAGTTTTGCTTTCATCGTTAAAGAGCTTTCCGAAGTGCCTGGGTATATGTGTACAAAGTTAACTATGCAGTCATTGCAGCAATTCAAACCCACACCGAGTAAGTCAGAAGAGAAAATTCTAAAGGGAAATATACTGAGGCTACATGTCAGATGTTTCTCTCTTCTTTTCTCTCCCTCTCTTTTTATGCACACAACACCCATATGCACATGCACATATATTAATATATATAATGTATGCAGATATTGATGGAATTCTATGAGTTGAAAGAGAGAGAAGATGTCTTTAAGGATCCATATCTCTCGCAGCAGATATATGTTATTATCACTGAAATGTGGCCTTCAGTCTTGAAACAGTTAAAAGAGTTCTACGGCCACAAAAGAAGAGATTTCTTCAGAATTATCTCCCGCCTCACATTTGCTCTTAGGCAAGCAGTTTAAAAAAGCCCAGTGATTGAGCCAGTGATCCAATTTGAAATGCAGAAATGATTAGAGCTGCTTGCCTCATTTCATATCGAAATTCTCTGATTTATGACAGGGCTGCAGCCAAGATCTATCTCCAAAGGGAATTAGTGTGCAAGTTTGCATATTTTTGTTATTTAGGTTTCTGATAGCAGCTGCTAGCTAGAAATACTGAACTGGGAGGTGGTGGTGCAGGGTTTTTCAGCCATTGGAGCAAAGAAAGATAAGAGCCTTATGTTTAGGACATTTAGACCCCTTGACCATCTCACCATACAGTAATTTTTAAACTTGGATTGCAGTAATACAGGAATCCAGCGGAATGGTTAATTGTAGTTGTGGAGAAAGGAATTACCAAAATTCTGTCTCCATGTTTTAACTAGGGGAATTTTAATGAGGCATAAAACTTCAATCATGCGACTGACCTGTGGGGCAGAGTGTAGAACATATAATGAAACAGAAATAGAATTCTGAAAAAAAATTATTACCTTATCTGGAATGTACATGAAGTGTTAACAGGAAATTATGCAACGGTTATAAATGAAAAATATGGGATTTAATGTACTTATTAATAAAGATTTGTTACATACATGATACCAGTGTCCCAAATCTGCTGTCCGCAGCTGTCCCCAGTTTCTTATTTCTGTGTCCTCAAATGCATTTAGTGTCTTATTACTCCGGAAGCTAAGGCCAATATCCATTTAACACCAGTGTCTAAGACAAACGGAAACATCTTTGTGTAGGGGTCAAGGACTGAGGAATTTCCCTTTTCTACGGCATTCAGACAGTCATAAAATTCTGGTTCTTTTAATTGTGAATTCAGTTAATGTTTTCTTTGGAAATGTAAACCTTCTGTGATGAGGAGGAAAGAATGAGCACATGGTGGCTCTTAAATAAAGGGGGGGAAAAAAGCCTTTTCCACTGAATGAAAAATGAGTAACTGCTGAATTATGTGAGTATTGCACTGAGCAAAGAAATCACACTGTGAAAGTTTATTACCTTAGCTACTGTCCAGCTCCATGTGGAGTCATTATGGCCTAGAGTCTCAACAGTGCTCCTGAATTGACCTCACTATAAGGCAGCTGTGCTTCCAGGTACTAAAACCTCTCTCATATTTCATTGAATATTCCCTGGGAGATCCAAGGTTATTGTAGTAAAACCTTTAAAATTTCATTACTTTGTTCTTTGACAAAGAATTTGGTAAGAATATCCTAGAGCCTCCAGATGAAAATGTGTGAATTATTTCTTTTAAATCTGTTCTTCTTGCACACTTTTATTTTTGCATTCCTACCCTTGTTATTCAGTGGTAAATCTGCCAAGGAAGCTGATCATGTTTAGGTGCATTACACAGTTACCTGAATAACCCACTTTCCTTGTAAAGTCTCTCTGATCACAGTGCTGACCTTAAAATACCACTGTGATATTACACTTAAAACAGCACCAGCACTGGGGATGAACTTCCTGTCCCTCTCTGCAGATGCCAGTGATTTGGAATTTACATTAGCACATTTGAAACCACTATTTAAAACACTGTGCACCTGGTGAGGGAAGAGTTATCAAAACAAGGACAGAATGGAAATGTAGGAAATGGAAATGAGGTTAGTTTTCCTTGCAACTAATTCATCCACTTGCTTGGGACCATTATTCAGACAAAAGAGACAATGCAGTCAACTGAAACTGTCACCTGAAGAGAAGGACTATGCTAATCTACTGGTATATACATTAAGACAATCTATGTGTGTTTTAATTTTTTCACTTTCCATAATAAGAGTATACAATGGCATATATTGAAGATTGTTTAAAATAATGGTGGTTTTTTGGGGTTTTTTTGTATTTTTTTTGGTACTAGTAACAGAAAAATTCCAGCAGAAATATAAAAGAATTAATCTTTGGATGAAGTCCACTTTCTCTGTTCCCAGTAAAACTGAGCAAGCTCTCCTTCCTCCTGCCTTCTTTAGTGATTTGATGGCAATGATTTTTGTGCCTGCTGTACTATGAGTTTTATGGTTCTGTGAGAAAAGATTAATATAGCGCTATAAATGTCCTTTCTGAATGCTATTTTATTTTCTCCAAAGATGCTGTAATCTAGTCTATCCATGGATTTGCAGAAAAGCAGGAGATAGAGTTTTTGTTAGCTAGTGAGTGAAGTTTTCAGAGCATGGACCCAATCCGTGGGCCTGAAGCTTCATAAGAGCAATCGCTGATGAATGTGTCTATTTTCCTATTTTGACTTGTGCAGGCACAAATGGAGATCTTTATGTGAAAACATGGTGCAACTTTGCCTAACTAAAAGGTTATGTTTAGAGTTGCTTTGTGAAGTCCAGTGGTGTGGAGAAAATGAGGATCAAATATGACCAAGGCCATTGCTTTAGTTGTCAGAAGATATATTTGTCCTTAGAGAAGTCCCTCACTTAGCAAAGGTGGAATGGTTTTTTTTTTTTTCTTAGCGTAGTGCTTTGTGAAAATATAAAACATTTATATTATGAAGGGAGAGATTTAAACTGAAAGCATGCATAGGTCTTTCTGAAGACAGCTTCCATCCTCACAAAGTATAAATGCTCATAAATAAGTATTCTTGCTTTTATCTTCATTAAATTATTTTACTTTAAACTTTACTGTGGACTATCAAGTCTGAGAATCTCTGCATATGTTAAAACCACTTCCACAAGGTATCATTTTTAAAGCATATTATTTTAATGATTCATCGTAAATTGTGATCTTTTGTATTGTTCTGATAGCCAGTAAAAGTTAAAATATTAACTGTGCAGTATAGTTAACTTGGATAAGTGCAGCATTAAAGTAGATACACATTAGCCAATATGAAGCATCAGAGGTAAAATCAAAGGGATTAAATTTGACAGAAGAGCCCCATTTAATTTCTTCCAACCCCTGTGGTTCTATTGAATAAAATGTACTTTAAGTACCTTTCTGGACTGCACTAACATCTGCTGTTCTTGGAAAACTGCTTTTGCCAGAGATAGCTGTATTACTGGGAAATGCTGGCCCACAATGGCTCGCAGAGAGAGCTATCCTCTTGTCTTATGCTTACTAATTAATTCCCACAAGGCTTGCTCCAGGACTAACTATTGTGAGCTCAGCAGTGCAAAGAGGTTAGCTGGGAAGGTCACGGGGAGGGTTGTGGTGGCAACAGCAGAGCCCATGTGTGTGTGTGCATGTGTATCCCCAAGAGAGGTATACATACAAAACAATGTATGGAACAGGCAGAGACAGGCAATAAGTATAGTGACTCAGTTAACTGTGGCCCTTCCAAATAGCAAATGTATTTTATAAATGATATCTAGCCTGATGAATTGGACACAATCCCAAAACTTAAAAAATTAGTAATCCTTCAAGTATGATTGATTTTCATTGTGTAAGTTTGGAAAAAATAAATCTTTGTTGAAGAAGTTATGAAACCTGCCTATATCTGGAGACCTATCATGCCTCAATAAATAGTAGTGATCAAATGCCATGTGCTTCATGTTTGTGTTGATTGCAGTGATGGCAGTCCCTAAGACAAGCCACCGTTATGTGGTTTTATGTGGATGCGTGTATGTTTGCATGAGCACAGACACACATGCCCATACACACACCACACATATGCAGACATTTTCTAGGCACCCTGCTTTCAAACCACTTCCTCAAAGAAGAAGGGAAAAACAGTTTTAATTTCACAGAACTGACCAGGAGAGATAATGAAGTACTTTCAAAACTCTTTATGTGTGGAAGCCCTAGAGGCAAACCCCAGAGCTTTCTTACTTTTAGCAACCAATTACCACAAAAAAAGAGTTTCCCCAATTATGAAGTATACTAACAGGCCGCACAGACTCAATTTCACTAAGTGTATTGGAAAGACAGCATTCACATAATTAATGAGAAAATGCTGCATGTGTTCAGGCCTTCTGTTAATTGATTAAATGAGCCTGTGCCTAAATCTGATTATAATCATACCGTGGCAGTACAATTGAGAGCCAGAGGTAAAGGGATTCTCTCGTTCTTTCTTGTACACTCTTGGATATGTGGACACACGTCCTCACTCATACTCCTCAAAATTGTAGGAACAGGATAAAGACTGGGCTACTAGGAAAGGTAACAGACTTCCCTATGGAAAGGGGGCTAGCTAATCACAATTACTTGAACAGTTGTTCTTGGTTTAGTGTCTTGGTTCCTGTTTAATCCATCACTAGCACTTGTAAAGTAACAGTGGGCTTTGTGGCAGGTGTCAGTTTGATGCTTATTATGGTTAACAGTTAACAAGTGCTGGTTAGTTTTCCCGCAGTGTCGCAATAAAACACAAAACCTGCCATGTGCTTGTCATTTTTTCTAAAGAAGGCCACAGTGTTCCCTAAGGGTTGTGAGAGAAGTTCATCCCATTGAACTGGTCAGCAAGATATCATTAGCTCGTTGTGTACATGAAATCCAGGGGTTAGAGCACCAAGCGTCACAAGCCAGTTTCTTTACCTCCTTGAGCTGATCAGAGGATCAGAGTATCAAGGAAGGATTAGCACTGACTTGGGATTTGTGTGATTGGTTAATTTATTGCGGCGATGGCAGGCCTTTCATCTATGGCAACATTTAATCAGCACGGCCATGGAGGCTATTACGGGTTAGCTCTTTTCTCAAGTCAGCCAGGGCTGCACCATCAGCCCTATCACAATTCCCCTGAAATTTCCAAATTATCTGGAACAGGCTTTAGCCTCACAGTAATAAAAATTAGAAGAGATCCCTGATAGCGCTGGTGGAAAAGGCTTTCACTTGCACAGGGCAAATTATAAATAGTATGAACGTGCACTTTAAAAAAAAAAATTCTCCACCTCTTAAGAGATGTGCAGGACTTATCACCCCTGCTCTGATCCAAATCCTCGTGGTTGAAAATTTATATTAGATTTTATCAGTGAGGCCTAAGTCTAGAAAAATCAATGAAGGTTATCTTTTATGTTGCAGGAACTTGTGGAAATATTGATTTTCATTTTATAGTGAATTTGGAGCATGAGTTGGTAATCACTGCTGAGCTGACTACAATGTTTGCCTACTGTATCTTTTACTGAGTTTTGCTCAAGTATTTAAGATAGTATATTCTTGTTGATTTTAGCATGTAGTTTGAAGTCAAATGTTTCTTAATACAAGTTGGTTCATCTCCTGTTATATAATGTAATCCTTCAGAGTAATGTTGATTAGCTAATGTCTGTTGAATGATTTCTGAATTTAATAGCAATGTTCAGAATAAGAAAGAGGAAGATTTCAGGACTCACTCATATATCTTGTTTCTCTTTTTTCCTTACCAGTCACTAAACCACTAAGTAAAATAGAAAGTATAAGAGAATATAATGGAAAATAAGATAAAGGATGCTAAAAGATAAAATACTTATGTATAAAAGGCTTAGGAACCTGAAAATCTGCTAGTGTAAATTATAGTTATTCAATCTATTAAGCATTAATCTTTCAGAACTAATGAAAACTAAAAAAAACTTCTACTGATAAAAGACACCATGGCCAAAGTTTATCAAATGAATCTAGATCCTTCATCTTGGCTCTAAATGCTTTAACTAAGTAAAACAATGATCCAGAGAGTGATTTTAGAGGTTTTTCTCCTGTAATGCCCTTATTCACTCTCTGTAGTTTATATTTCCATAGAGTATGTTTGCTTTCGATGTAATTTCTATTGGTGGTGTATCAGTGCAACAGATTTTAAAATGGATGGATTCTTCAAAAAATCATTTGAATGTTCAAATAAATCTGTTCCTGCCAAATTTATGCTGTTTTTGTTTTGATTTCAGGTAATGTGAGCTTTCTTTCAGACCTGATATAGAAAAAGGAATTTTTAATACTTTCCTCACACAATCTAACTCTAGGGCAAGTAAAATAAAACTCCGTGAATTTCCAAAGATAAAGCCTAGCTGACCATGAGAACTTAAAACAGGGATACTCTGAGATAACTGTAGGGAAAAAAAAGTATAGTTAGCTTTAAATAGATTTTGGGGTATGGGCTCTGCTTGTTCCTTCCTTTGCAATTCCTCTGGGCAGGGCCTGTTGTTTCCCAAGTATAGAAGGCACGATGGTAACATGACTTTCCCTGAGCAACTGTTTTAGCTTCTTAAGTAAGGATTTAAGTCTGTAACTCTATAGGGATGTTGAAATACAGGGTTTTTTTAAAAATTGGTGCAGAAAATGAGACAGAAGTAGAGAAGCTTTTTGCAAAGTACATGTCCTCAAGAAAAATATAGTGCTGCAGGTATCCATGAACATAATCTCTAAATATATCATCATTCTTAGCTGTGGAAAACTGACAGGGGAAAGTATATGAATGTAGAGACCTGAATCTCCTGGTCTGAGCACTTGAGGCATGCTGGAGAACATACACGGATGCACTTAGCAGCATGTATAGATATGTAACACACTAGTTCCTAGAATGAACTGCATGTCACCGCATTTATTTACGTTGCCTTGGCATCCTTCTCCAAGTTAATTATGCCCTATTATGCTTCTAATGCTGTCATTATGTTAGTATCCTAACTTTAAGTCTTCTTCTTGAGTATTTAGTTGGTACATTTTTGGTTCCATGCATTTTTCTCCAATCACAGTCTTTTCATGTATTACACAGATGTATTATGGATTTGTAGATAGGAGTAATGATGTGTCACTGAGATCAGGGAGAGCAGTACTGTGTCCATTTTGTGGTTTTTGATGCTCTGATTAAGCTGATTGTTATTCCTTTAACTGGTAATTATTTTCAGGAAAAAAAAAATTGAATGTATTCCTTAGTGGGATTATGAATTCCTTACTAGTCCTGGAATTTCTATGGACTATGAATACTGGTGGTACACTTAAAGGAAATTAAGGTAGGTTTTACCTCCAGTAATGTTAACTTTTATAACGTTCAATGGAATAGAAAAGGGTATTTTTTTCTTCCTATAGGTAAGTGCTTATGATAGTCAAAGCCTGTAATCCTTGAAGGTTGTCCCACAGCAATTCCTACTGACTTCTCTGGTATTTTGAGCTGAAGTAATGAAGAGATAAATATTTCAAGGATTAGGCTTGATATGTTTGGGTACGGGGTGTGTTGGGTGTGTAAGCGTAGCAACATTTTTCCCTTTAAATTCAAAATTAAATTATTAACATCATAAAATCTCTGACAATCAAGAAACTCCAAAGATGATCTACAAAGATTGGTTTAAATTCTGTTGTCTGAATCACACGTGCAATTCCTTTTGATGTCAATGGGAATATTGTCTTGTTACTGAAAGTAAAATATGACCTGTTGTCTATTTGCTTTTCTGTTATGGAACTGCAGATGAGGCTGCAGAACCAAACAGATATGCCTGGACAGATCTGATAGCATTTGCGAGCTGCTAGTCTTGAACCTGGCATTTGCATGGGACTACACTGAATATTTTATTTTGTATACTTTAAGCCAGTGCTAAATTTAAAGAAAACACTTAAAGGCTTCATAATACAATTATTCAGGATTTGGAATATTTTTTGTATTCTCTACAATTATAATATGTTCTTAAAAATTTACCACAATTGGAAATACTGCTTTTTTCATTACTGAATAATATATTTCCATGAAGTTTTCTTTGAACCATCTGTAGATTCCAGCAGTTCACCTTTTTTATGATTTTTGTCAGCTGCAATTAGTTATAGACCAGTGAGAAACTACCAAGTGATTACGTATGACAACCATCTGAAGCATTGCTTCTGTTGGAAATATACCTTGCTTAGCTGATTTTTTCACAGTGATAATTACTAAAGTTGGCCATTAGTTATAGCTTTATCAAACGTTTTTTGCTCATTAGGCTTTACAAAATATTTTAGATTAAGTTTGAAGAAATGGAGAGGTGCAGTCAGATGATGAGTTAGTTGTGTGCTGGATTACTGAGGTTTACTGAGCAATTTCTAGTAACAGAGCAGATTCTCCCACCTCACCATTACTGTGTGCAGAACATGATACTCTCTTTCTTTTGAATTTTTTTTAAAAGCCCTTTACCTACTGCAAACTCCTCTTTTTGGGCCTGATCAAGAAGGATAAATACACACAAGAAGGGAGGACTTCTCTG